GGCTCGGCACTGGTGGGCTTCCGCCCCGCCGACCTGGGCGACAAGAGGTGGTGGGTGCCCCATGGGGCTCAGCCCCCTGGGATGGGGCTCAGCCCCCCGGGACGGGGCCAGTACTGCTCTTGGTGGCACCGCGCCCCCCGTCCCTGACCCGTGTGGCATGGAGCCAGCACCGAGACTGTCCCCAACCACATCACACGCGCCATCCCGGAGGGATGCTCTGCGCGCCGCCTGTGCTCCCGCGGCACTGGGGGATGCCTGAGCCTCCCCAGCCCGCTCAGGACCCCCAGCCGGGGGCCACCGCTGCTCCCCACCCCCCGAGCCCTGTCCCCGTACTTGGCATAGTCCTGGTTGGCTCTGGCACCCAGCAGCACCTTCCCTTTGCCGGCCGCCGTCTCGTCCTTATCGATGCTGATCCACTCTGCCAGGAGACAGGGCCTCAGTGGGGGGGGGTCCCGTCCCCGCCGTCCCCCCTGGGGTGGGGTGGGGCCTCACCGTAGAGCCTCTCGCGGGTGCCCAAGCGCTCGGTGGGCACCCGGACCTTCATGGAGCCGCGGATGTTGCCCGTCTCCTCGCCCCGGTGCGACAGGTAGGTGAGGAACTGCTGCGCCGTGCTGCCGATCATGGACTTCAGGGCAATGACGCACTCCCCTGGGGGCGGCAGCGGCGGGGGTCGGGGGTCCGCATCCCCAAGGGACCCCCCCGGGAGGGCGGCGCGGTGCCGGGGAGCCGGCGCGGGCACTCACCGTAGGACTCGTAGCCGTCGAGGGATTTGACGGTGAGCAGGAGGTGCTGGTCCTGCAGGTACTCGATCTCGGAGAGGATGGGCTTCAGCTGCGGGTGAGGGGACGGGTGACGGCGCTGGGGGGGTGCTCTCCGCCAGCAGCCCCCCGGCGCCAGCCCTGCCAGCCCCTCCTCACCGTGGGCAGCTGCCGCGACGACCACTGCACCTTGAGGAAGTTGATGTTGTCGCTGCTCTGGCTGTCGTTCTCGAAGCTTTTCTTGAACTCTGCGGTGGCAGGGGGACACGCGGCCCCCGTCAGCCCCCTGGGACCGCGCCGAGCCCCCCGGGACCCCCCGCCACCGCGCCGGCCCGCACCTTCCAGGCAGGTGGAGTAAAACTCGATGAAGAACTTGGTGCGGCTGGCCGTCTTCACAATGGCCTCAATGCTCTCGAACTCGATGTACGCCTGCTCGGAGGACTTGGAGAGCCCTCCAGGGAGAGGCGAGGCGTTGGGACCCCCCCGGGACCCCCTGCTTCTCGAGGGAGAGGTGGAACCCGCCGGGAGGGGAGCGGGGCGTCCCCTTGGGCACAGGCACCTTTTTTGGAGACGAACTGGGACGTCACCCCCACCTCAAAGGAGCCAAAGACGGGCGAGTGGTCGCTGGTGACGATGTCGTCCGTGCACCCTGCGGCCAGACGGGATGGAGGGGGGGGTCAGGGTGGGGGGACCCGTCCCCGGAGGAGGGGGGACGGCGTCCCGGGGGGTCGCACGCCGCTCACCGTAGGCGTTGCAGTTGATGTGAGTCTCGGGGGAGGACTTCCAGAGGATGCGGGCGCCCC